AGCAAGTCTTGTAAAATAATTTAATTATAAACTACAAACTTCACTAATAAATATTTGTTGATATTTATTTTCTAAAACGAATTAGTAGATTCGTTACAATTTCCATGTGAAATTTATGTAGAAGGTAGAAAAATTTCTAGTGATATTGAAGTAAATTGTATTTTGATAAAGTTCACGTGTTGTTAAGAAAATTTTACATTAATTTTTGTTGTAAAGTTTCAAAATTTTTTACCTTTATAATAATGTCTGTCTATATACATGAATATTTTGACCAAAACCCTTCAGATTGAAACATGCTTGATTTTTTAAATGACTGTAACAAAAGACTATTTGACTTTGATCAAGAGATAGATTATTATATAAAAAATCTCAAAGTAATCACTAATTCAAAACAAGACAATAGAAAAAAAAATGCACAAATACTTCTTAACAGATATAAAATAATTAGTAAAAATTTTTGTACTTTATTTTTTTAAGAAAAAAAATAATGTGAATAGAGGTTTTCTAGGTTACTAATTATTTAAAGTTTTTAGCTAAGCCACAAAACTGATGCTGACGTACAGGTAACTTAATTATCTAATACCAAATGTTTCTAACTATTCAGCATTAGACCTACTGGAGCACAAGTAACTTTCTAGATTGCAATATGTTTCAGTAGAATAAAAATCTAATTTTGAATAGTAAGATATTAATTTTTACTAATTCTAAACCTCTATTAGAGTATATAAACTGATTGTAAAAGAGTCAAAGAATGGAATAATAAATGCTTGCATAGGCAGATGAACTTTCATTAACTGATTAACATAATTAATGGTAATGTAATTGAAGGAGCTGGTAATATAAATACTGTTGCAAGTTTTTTTTTGAAGAAGAGAGATCAAGAGATACTATATAGATCTTTTTTTTTTAGCTGAAAGTTGAGTTGAACTAATTATTTTATGTTTTAATATATTTAGGATGGTAATTTTGAAGAAATTTTAGAAAAAACTTTTAAAGTTATCAGTGATATAAATATTATGCCAACTACACCATTACTACAAACTGAAGAAAATATTGTTATATATTTTTCAGCCTTTTGAATAGGTTGCAATTTGATATTTCTGCTTTTTACTGAGTTGATTTATTTTTTCTTTTTGTTTTTATATCATTTATAGAAGAAAAAAAAAGTCAAAATCAATTAATAACTTCAGGAAAATGGCTACATCAGTACAAGAATATTCAGTTTTGTCAGTATAAGATATTCTGACAATATAACAAGGCACATAACTAATGTAAACATTAACTTGTCTATTATAACAGGATAAACTTACTTTATATGCAATGCACTAAACTCTTCATCGAGAAAAAATTACAAGAAGTTTAGATAATATAGATAATAGTTATACATAAAATTATAGACTCTGAATAATGAGGTAGTTGTATATTAATTCAAATGACCAGTATTTAATATGAAAATTACTTCTTACTTTTCCTATCTTTGATATATTTATTAGAGTAATTCAAAAAAAATGACATAAAAGTAATTAATACCAAATAAAAATTTAAAAAAACAAGTTGAGATAAGTTTTTATAAATAATCAATTATACATTTGAAAATATCTTTTTAACTTGTTTTTTTATGACTTTCCTTAGAAAGAACTTGTGAGATAATTCAATTTCAAAGAATAAAAAAAAAATCAACTATACCAAAATTCCAAGCTCAGACATAAATCTATATTAAGTAATTATTCTTGCTACTTTTTTGCACAATAAAAGTATGCAACTCTCATTCATTTTTTTATTTTGTTGTTTTGAAATATATCAAGCATCAAGTATTTGAATGTGAATTCTTACTTAACAATCTGGATCATTCAGTTACATCATTAAATAAGTCAATTATTATGGAAACAATATATAACCTAATTTCTATATATATAATTTGCATTCAACTCAACATTACATTTGGTCAAGAAATCTATTGAGGAAAGTTTATTTAAAAAAATTAAAAAGGTTCTTAAAATAAGAAACAAATTGATTTTAAATAGATTGATAATCCTGAAATTGGAGACAATTTTTTAAACAGACTATACAAAAATTAGCTCAAAAATAATAACAGAAACTGAGGTTGAAAAAAATATTAAAAAGAGCAAAGAATCACAATTTCTTTTTTTTATTTGGCACACTTTTTAAATTTCGTAATGATGTATAAATATTATACCTGCCACCCAAATTCAAAATCCAAATGCCGAAATCCCAAATGCCGAAATCCCAAATCCCAAATCCCAA